CCCCCCCCCCAACCATCACCACTAGATCTACTGGAATGTCACTAACTCCCCACAACTGTTCTAGACTGGAGACAACATTCTATCACTGTACCTACTTTTTTTTCTTTTTTTTTTCTTTTCTGTAGACTTTTTTTCCAGCCAGCAGGTCTTTTTTTTTTTTTAAAGCCAATCTCTCAACACGTTTTCTGCAATAACGACCACATCTCTCAGACAATCACCTGTACAAACGTCCACTCCCCATAACCCCCCATTCCCCCTTTTGCGTAATCAAAAAAATAATACTGTATTCACACTGTCCATGATACCCACCCATCTAAGACAACCACTTATCTCCTCGACATTGGCTCACCGTCTTGGAAAGGTCCGACTATATTCTACAGAGAAATGTTGCAGTGCACGATTCCCGCTTTGATTGCATTTCTCATTATCTTAATGTCGAAGCCTTATACAATGACTAGTTTACCAATCCGTAAGACACCCCCCCCCCTCCAACAACTACTATTAGTGGAATGTCACACCAAATCGTCACAACTGTTCTAGACTGGAGACAACATTCTATCACTGTACCTACTTTTTTTTTCTTTTTTTTTCTTTTTTTTTCTTTTCTGTGGATTTTTTTCTCCATCCAGCAGGTTTTTTCTTTCAGCCAATCTGATAACAAAGTCCTCTTCTTAACATGCCACCCGAAAAGAAAACGAACGAATTTCAACAACTAAACAAAAGAAACGGGGAAAAATACAGCAACCCAAAAGTTTTGAGTTTAAAAACAGATTTAAAAAACAACAACAACAACAAAAACTTTAAAACGCCCAAAGAAACAGCAACCAAACTAGGGGAAAAAGACCCATTTGAGCCAAGACGGGTTTTCACCCCCCCCCCCCCCGAAAACAAAAACAAAACAAAACAAAAACCCAATACCCCCCAACATCGGGTCACGTATTGCACATAATATGTGTAAATAGTTTGTGTCATGCCCGGAGGGAATCAGGCGTCGTCAACTTTTGGCCATGTGGAGTTATTGGTACCATCTTGAAACTTGTTTTTGTCTTACTTTTGATTAAAAAAAAACCCATACCCAGTTGTCTTGAGTAGAAGTTGATATATATGCACGATTGAAATATGTAGGGGTTTTCTGGTTTCAGAAATAAATGAAGCGAAAATATGGCCGCCAAAATTTAGTGACTTCCAAAGCTTGAGAGTCCTTGGAAAGTGAAAATATACATTTTAATGCCTTTAATCAACGTTTTTCTAGTAAAATCCACACAGAAATGTGTTTTTAATTGACCATTTAAAGTGTTAAGCCCAAAAACAAAATCCGATAAAAAAAAGTCAAAACCAACGGAAATAAGCACGTTTCTTTGAAACCATTTTTTGACGAGTACCTGATTCCACCATGAGGTCTCAAATTTTTATTTGCACATTCAGCTATAATCATTTAAACTTAAGCTCCATAGGAAACCTGACAGTGAGGGGAAATTTTCTTTTCTAAAACTGTCCCCTTTCACTTCCCTTCCTGCTCTCATATTGTGTCGTTCGCTTTCGTTTCCACTCTCAGCCTTAATCTTAGGGAAGGTAAAATTTAACACCAAGCCTTCTCGGATAAGTAGGTCCCGTGAACAACTTGTGCACGCTAAATAAATTTGTTTGGTTAGTGTTTTACGGCCCTCTCAACTGCATAAGGTTATTTAGCGCGTGGGACACATTAAACATTTTCAGCTGGTAGGAAGTTTTGAATTTTACCCAAGTGGCAACCGAACTCTACTCTTATCGATTTTGGACCGCCAACTGATCTTTATAATTTAACGTGCGCAACTTGTACACAGGACCTCCGAGATTTTTCGTTCATGTCCGAGAAGGCTAAGTATAGATCTGTACTAAAATCGATCATGCGTGTGGCTGAAAGACAGCAGTAAGACGGAGCCATGGAGTAGCAGCAGAAAGGCTGCAGAAAGAGTCGGGAGCCCAGAAAAGAGGGCAAAAGAAATTAGGGAGTATGGGCAGAAAGAATAGAGACGAAAGCTGACGACATAACATCGTTAGAAAGCAGGAAAGGATGTGAAAGGAACACTTTCCGTCACTATCTGGATTCGAACTCGGGACCGATTGAATGAGACGAGCCACCTTATCCTCTAGACCACGAGAGCCCATGTCCTAAAATCGATAATAAGAGTGGTTATTGTTTGCTGCGAGCTCATAATATGTAACCTTATGAAGTTGCAAATGCCGTAAAACACAAAAACAAAGACAATTAATTATAGCGTGTTAACAAAAAGCTTTGCAGAAACATAGAGGGTACAGACATATAACATCTAATAAAGGGGGAGAGAGAGAGAGAGAGAGAGAGAGAGAGAGAGA